GTTTGAGCCCCGTGAGCTCACCTATTAGTTAAGGTTACGCTGAAATAGCCTCTCAAGGTTCAATTTAGGTAGGAAAAAAAAAGATAACATACACTTAAAAAATATTAAGCTAGCACTAGTTAAAGCTCTAGACTGTAAAATCAACACAATTCTCATTCACGCCGCATGACACGTCGCCGTTGGACAGCTGATGTCATCGGCTGATGGCTTCTTCCCTTTGTCAAGCCGGAACAAAGCTAGACTAGCGTCCAATCACAGAACAGACAAACGTCCCGTTCCAATCGTAGGAGCGTTCCAGTCTTTTTGTGCGACTGACGCTTTCTGATGGCTGAAATAGAAATCGAATCAATTTCGACCAGACATAGTTGGCCAGATTCATTTTTAGTAATTTAAAAATATGATGTGTATCGAACAGAATTTTTTATTCGTATTCATACTGGAACTGGAAGTGGTAAGGTTTATCGTACGTGTAAAGGGTAGATGTCATGAAACACTGATGGTTGAATCTCGCTAACGCCATATTCAAAATAAATTTCATATGTATAAGTTCCGAAAAGTAGCATTTCTTATTTTTATTTATTTAATATGTATTTATGTTCTTAATAAATCTCTAAGAAAAACATTGTTACGCCGGTAAGAGTAACGCCATCTATTGCCGAATAGACGAAAGAATATTGAAGGATCTATTAAAATCTAGAACGCTCGAGGAGTACAACGCCATCTAATGTCAGATAGCGGAAACACACATCGAAGGTACTCGACTTGGGAGGAATGTTCTCGACGATTCTAGGGATTTCGTCTCGCCTATAATAGCGTTGCAGAGATGGCACGCCGTCAGTCAGAGTAATCAGATCTACTCGAAGCGAAACAGCGAACGGATCACCTGAAGCGAAACGGAAGAAGCGAAATAAGAATTTTAAAGTGTTCTGTATGTATGTTCTAAGCGATAAATACAGTTTTAAGTTGTACTTTGGTGGAACATTTATTTATCCCGAACTCCAGCGCGTAACAATATTAACACGATAATTTGCTCATTTCCAAAAACCAATCCACAAAACATGTCCACGAAACTAGCCGCGTGACGATAATTTAGTCTGCCACGTACTCGAAAACGGTATTATATTCGTTGCAAACATTTCACGGTCCAGCCGGCAGCGTAATGTAAACCCAAAACTTATTGAATAGGAAATCAGGGATCTAATAAAAAATCTGTCAGAGCCACAGTAGGCGGGGGACAGGTGTGTCCTGATGTGACGTGACATTAAAATACGATTGATGCACACTGAGCCACAACCCGTTAATTTTACTAAGCTATTTGTTTTGAACAATTTATTTTCGACTAGCTAATCCGACTGACTTCGTAATGCCTCAATTGATAGATAAAAGACCTAAACTTTTGTATAAAATAAACTTAAAACAAACAAAAGAAATCCGACCGAAGGAAAAATAAAATTGTTATTTTTATTTCATTCTGAGCATTTTCATATTTATTTTTTATATAATTAATTTACCTTTTAAACCTTCTCTGGACTTCCATAAATCATTCAAGACCGAAATTACAGGTCCAGCCGTTCTCGAGTTTTAGCGAGACTAACGAACGGCAATTCATTTTTATATATATGTTGGAGTATTTCTACTTTCGGGTAGCGACATGATAAGCGGGCGGTCTTCGTAAGTCAATAAAACCAGAAATGAACTCCGGGTGTTTATTACGCAGGAGCGCTCCGTCCGACACGGCGACTCGCTCGCTTCTGAGCTCGAGTTTTTTTTTTTTTTTTTTTTTTTTCTACCTAAGCTGTTAGCCCTAGCGGCTATGTCAGCGTAACCCTAACTTTAGTAGGTGAGCTCACGGGGCTCAAACCTGACGATGTTGCTAGCACGAACCCTAGCAAGAGCCGTGCTTCGCAGAATCTACCACCGGATCGGAAACGCGACCCACTGAGAAGATCCGGCGAGAAACTCAGTGGGCTGTGTCTGAGAGTTAATTTACTCGTCGAGCCCTTCGTCGCAAGCGACGGGTTCGACGAGAACGGTAACCGGAGCTCGAGAGACAACAACGGAGCGTTTTTATAGCAAGGTATCGTGGTGGGACGATGTTGTTTACGATTCTTATCTTGCACGTGTTGTTTTCGATGAATGCTTGCACCTGTTGTTTGTCGTCCCATCTTTATTAGTCATGAACTAATGGTTTATAAAAACACGCGCCGACATATATTGATATATAGATAGATAGATGACTTCAGCTTCATTGCTATTTATTTTGTCGTTGGGCAGGCACAACTACTCTGCCTATTTCTGCAGTAAGCCGTAATGAGTTTCAATTTAAAAGATATTGCATCCGTTGTGCTATAAAACTGACATTTACAACTCATATCTCAAGGTTGGTGGCGGCATTTACGCTGTCGACGTCTATTGGCTCCGGTAACCACATAACAGCACAACTTAATGGTCACAACGTGAGTGTGACCATGAGTTATGAATTCAGCGGAAACCAATTCGCAGAGTCTAATTATTTTAGCAGATAGCCGGTGTTAAAACTGATGCCTTTGTAATTTTAGGCTAGCCAGTTGCTATCGCTTTAATTTATTCTGGCTTAGAGGCCCAGGCGAGCTTACGGCCTGTCTGACGCAGATGAGCTACGGTCGATTAATGAGATCGCTACTGAATATTGCTACAGACTTTTCCAAACCCGTTCATTGTGTATCTCGATACCATTACCAGTTTACGTTTTTGTTCTCTCGTAATTCAAATATCTAAAACGTGTTATACTGAACCAGTGTGTCACCATCTTAACGATCCCGTTGTAAATTTGACACGGGTGTGTTAGAAACAATGTTTGCGACACCGGTAGTTATACGAAAACCATTATTGGATCGGATGAAACAAAAGACGATAGGATTTGAAGATCAGTCATCTGTGTGATTAGATTCATCTGCATGTCATTTATATTTCTGCTTCCATGCTGTTTCCAAGTGGTCGAAGTCAACACAAACTGGATTCATATTGCAGAATAAGCCTCGGCTTGGTATTTCCGCATAGGAGTTCCTGGGAAGGTTAATTGTGTTATGATGTGACGTGGTTCTTATCGTTTCCTCACTACGAAAAGATCTTCTACTAAGCGACTGTTTGCGCTCAGTTTAACGGCTACTGGTGTTAATTGAGGATATTAATAATAAATAACAAATATATTATAGCATTCTATGCTTTTCAATTGGTAAGGACTGGATGCGAAAGACAAGATTATATAGATAGGCACTCTTATGATGTGAATGTATTATACTCAGCATTGGGTGGACACAGATTGAGGAATCATACATCATAATAAGATCGGACGTCGAGTGAGAGAGTGAAAGGTGGAGCCATTTGACTCTTTTTATTGCTTAGATAGTTGGACAAGCTCACGGCCCAGCTGATTTTAAGTGGTTACCGAAGCCCATAGACATCTACAACGTAAACGCCGTAACCTTCCTTGAGATATAAGTTCTAAGGTCTCATTACATTACTGCTTCACGGTAGAAATAGGCAGGGTGGTGGTACCTACGGTGGTACCTACGGCGGGTGCACAAGACGTCCTACCAACAGTAAGTTGATGCTGTAGGGACCTAATAATATCCTTGAGCCTGCGATCTATTCCCAACATCTGCAGACTATCAAGTCCCACATGCCCCACGTGCCCCCCAGACGCGAAAACCTCGTAGAAGGTGTGGCCCCCAGCCCAAAAAAAAATACATACTTGTCAGTAAGGTATTGACGGACTGGAATTTAATTTTAGATGTATTTTAAACTATTGTTCGGCCCGTGATGGAAATTCGACCATACTTAATTGTAGTGAACAGATATTTTTTCATTTTATGTATTCTTTTGTTATCTTGTTTCTTCATTGAAATTTTTGTCTTTGCCTATTTATAATGTAAATTGTCTTTCTTCTCAGTCGTACACTCCTGGCGAAGTGGTCGTGGTTATTTTATGTTTATTTATGTTTTATTGCTTTGTTGCGGCTTTTTCGAGGCTTCTCCATATTATCTCTCTACCTGTGGCAGTAGGTACGTGTACATTCAGTAAGGGAACAGCTAGTAGATGACTTAATCAAGCCTTGTCCACATTGTGGGTGATCGGCCGTCAGAACGTTGACCGTCTACTCTTCCTTGGACCATTAATCGTTCCAATGAGCTTTCATTGCGGATGATAAATTGTACAGATTTTGTAAAATATGTTTAGGTATATTTTGAATACACACAGCTTATTAAATTACGGAGTGTAAAACTCGTATTCATATCCAAGTCATTTGTATATTTACAGCTGTTAAACAGATGTTTTTTTTTAATAGTAAGATATTTTTCGAAAATTCCTAGCCTTATCTCTATTTGCATTTCGTCAGAGCTGATATAATTATTCATTCATTTAAATAACAATTACTGAATATCAGCCGTTTTAGTGAATTATTTTCTGTAATGTTCAATTATTTTTGACTATACATAGACTAACAATCTCAGACCCACCTGACAGTAAGCGATTACCGGATCCCATACTTCGGAGCACATCCTTCAAACCGAAACCTGACTGCCACTAGTAACTAGTAACAAACTTGTAATTTTTGCTCAAATGTAATTATACACACTCTCCTTCATCTTAAAAATTGCGAATGCATGTAAGGTCTTTAAACATAAAATATGTAATTATTATATTTTGTTAACGGGGTCCACAGAAATCACATCGTGTATTCCGCCACCTACGACGAGCCATGTTGTGATGTCTTTAACCACATCAGCAACCACTTACCAGCACTATACAAACTACTTTTTTTTTTTATTGCCTTTGTAGGCAGACGAGCATACGGCCCACCTGATGGTGAGTGGTTACCGTCGCCCATGGACTTCAGCAATGCCAAGGGCAGAGCCAAGCCGCTGCCTACCGCAAATTTTTAAAACCCATTTATTTTCGTTGTAAAAATAAGTCAGTATAGAAGCGTTAGTTACATAGCTTATATCGCGAGTGGAGGTTATTCCAATGTCACTTCTCGTTGAAGACCGTCGAGTTCTGTTAGCATCATTTTAGTGTGTACCGAAAATGGCGTCAACGGAAATTGAATTCGAAGATATAATAGAAAAATTCAAACTTTTCTCTCCTTATCATTTAAAACTGGTTGTTCTGCTTGCCTTCGTCAGTTTTATTGACGCTTGGCATCGTGCTAATTACATTATGGTCGTCGAAGATGTTAATTACTGGTGAGTAAACTTGATAAGGATATAAGAATAGTCCGTACAAGCAGTTGTATGTACACTCGTTGTCAAGTGATGAAATTTAAAAACAGTAAAAACATTTTGATGTACGTCCAATCCTGAATCCCTCCATCACTCCAATAGTATGTCACAAGTTGTAGGATATATTCCCATTATGGCATGCGATAGACAGGATGCGCACTTTTGAAAAACAAAGCCTTGTATACAACTCACAATTTTAATAATCCTGTTCATGTAAAAACATTGTTCATAGCATTGCATTCGTAAATATATTGCACACTAGCTGAACCGGCAGACTTCGTAGTGCCTCAATCGATAAATAAATACTTAACTTTTGTATAAAATAAACAAAAGGAATCCGTCCAGCGGGTGTATACCCTTTAAACCTTCTCTGGATTTCCACAAATAATTCAAGACCAAAATTAGCCAAATCGGTCCAGCCGTTCTCGAGTTTTAGCGAGACTAACGAACAGCAATTCATTTTTATATACATAGATATATGTATAGATAGATATATAGATAGATAGATAGATAGAAAGATTACTAACTTAACGAACTACGATTACTTACTACGATTACTAACTAAACGAACATTACTTGCATAAAAGCTGAGTGAGAGCTTTACTTCATTTTCCTTATTAGGTGTAAATACGAATGTAATGAAAGCCAGTTTCTTAAAGTTATTCGTAACGAAACTAATCTAGACAGATGTTTGAAGTACTCAATTACTGACAATTGCGCTTTCGATGACCTTAAAGAAAGAAGCATCGAAACCTGCCATGACTGGACCTATGAGAAACCTGACAGTTTTATGGGTGAAGTATGTTTTGTTTTTTGTTTTTTTTAGATTGCAAATTACAGTAGAAATTATTGGACGAGCTAAGTTAGAGGATGAGTGCAAATATCGCAGTATTTCAAAGCGACTAGGCGCTGCGTAATACCCTGATCAATAGACTATTATGATTAAAGATTTAGCAATTTAGTACTTATAATTTAATTAGATATTACAGAGGTTAATGCAAATTAGAATAAGTACAAAGCAATCAAAATACAAAAACGTGATTCGTGATGGTGCTACTCGATCAATCTAATTTACATATCTATGGATCGACCAAGGCCTTACAAATAAACGCCTGTCAAACTCGTAGTCGTGTCATTCAGTATGATTTAAATCGTATGGTAGATTTTTTTCATTTCATTCGTAGGCAGATGAGCATACGGCCCAGCTGATAGTTTTTTTATTGCTTAGATGGGTGGACGAGCTCACAGCCCACCTGGTTTTAAGTGGTTACTAGAGCTTCACGGTAGAAATAGGCAGGGTGGTGGTACTTACCCGTGCGGACTCACAAGAGGTCCTACCACCAGTAAGATTTTGATCGATTGTGACTGATTGATCATGGACTTTAATAAGTCTTGTTGTATACGACGTGATTAATTAATCGTCTCGCTGGTCTGGTGCTTAGTAGCCGTGACTAGACAACAATACTACGGAGTACAGATGTGATTCCTGGTCACAGGCCGAGTTCTTACTAAAGATACTCGATGTTCGGCGTCTGGACCCTCATGGTACATTATTCAATTCGCGTTAGAGGAAACAACAAAGGGGAAATCTTCCACCAAGTTGGTGAAATAGCTCGGCCAACCATCGGTCGAGATGCTTTGGGACTTTTAAGCAAAAATTCTTAATAGCTACCTTAATTACAAAAATAATTACTACAAAATACGTACTACTGGCAGCGTCTTAGCAGCTACCGTTTATGAATAATTCGCAATTTTCAACCTTTCTCTTTTATTATAGTTCAAACTGGGATGTCAGGATTGGAAAAGAACGTTAGTGGGGACTGTCCACAGCATGGGTCTTTTGATCGGCTTACTCATTATAGGACCCCTGTCTGATAAGTGAGTCACATTTTTTTAACGTGTATATAATGCATATCAGTTTAACACAATCACACTGTACATTTTGTTGAGTATACTCGAAGAAGTCGCGCATCGCATGCCATCGCCTGACAATTCCGTTCTGGTGACTAGGAACTAAGACCGCCGCTCGTATGCGGGACACACCGCGAGTGTGCTCTCTACCTGCAATTGGGACTCTGATCCAATGCAGATACTCCCCGAAGGCATGATGCTCGACCCGCATCAGCCCGATCAGTCGGTCACGATTTGTCTAGTCGTTGCCTACTTTAAGCGTTTCTCCGCAATTTCTGTTTGAAGAAGAACATAATAATATCAGCTCAGGAAACACCGAGGAGCACGCAATATAGATATGAAATATTTTTAATCCCTCTAGTATTCATTCATTGTCGTTCAGGGCAAAGTAGATGGACCGCGTGGACGATTGCCCATGCGACAGACCGACCAAGTCAAGTCGGAAGTTGGCAGTTGTTTACATGAGCGTACCAGACTCACCACAAACCGGGAGAAGTAATGATTGCTCGTGTGGCACATAACATCTGTCCACAGCAATGATACTGAATGAGGACCACGACCGCTCGGACAAGAGTGATACGAGAAAGGAATGAAAAGTATTCATTTCTAGAAATTTCGGCCCTAAATATTTAGTGTATTTATTATCAATGATTTCGGAAACTAAAAGTAAGGTTACCGTCATGGAATCCCTCACCGCCGTGATGCGATACGAAGAAAGTCATATCGTATCACTGCTACAAATATTATTTTTTAAATTGATAATAACGATGTTAAGCTTACAGGCGGGCTCTCGCCGTCGTCAAAGACGTCCACCACAATTGAGGATCATGCCATTGTATCATTAATATTAATTTACTTAATAAGCGCAGATACGGCCGAAAAGCCATATTTATACTCTGCGGAATAATGGGTGGCATCGTTGGGTTAGGCAAAAGCATAACGGCGTGGTACTGGATTTATGTAGCACTGGAGTTTGTTCAAGTCTTAATCGGAACTCCGTTTTCGGCAGCTTTTACACTGGGTATGTGCTCCTGATTTCAAGTTTATTCTTTCAAAATAATATATTTACTTGGAAACTTTATATTTTCGTTAAATCACTTATTATTCTAATAGAACATTATCTAGTTTTATTTTTTATTGCTAAGGTGGGTGGACGAGCTCACGGCCCACCTGATGTTAAGCGGTTACCGGAGCCCATAGGCATCTACAACGTAAATGCGCCACCAAACTTGAGATATAACTTCAAAGGTCTCAGTATAGTTACAAGGGCTGCCCCGCCCTTCAAACCGAAACGCATTACTACTTCACGGCAGAAATAGGCAGGGTGGTGGTACCTACCCGTGCGGACTCACAAATTAACACAATAACGCAAATTATAATTTTGCCGGTTTCATTATATACATTCTGTATATACCATAAAATAGCTCTTTTATACCTACGATACTAATTCTGTTGCTTCAGGGATAGAGATGGTACCGAAACGTAACCGCCTGCGTTTTCTTGGCCTCGTTTCATCTTTCTTCGGTGTCGGCGACATCACCCTCGCTCTACTAGCTTGGTCAGTACCGTACTGGAGGAACCTCTTGAGAGTCCTTTACGCACCATCTTTCATCTTCTTAATTTACATCTTCGCAATGGACGAAAGCATTCGATGGTTGTTGATAAAGGGAAGAAAAGAAGAGGCAATTAATATCATACAGAAAGCAGCTAAAGTGAATAAAATCCACATCAGCAATGAAGATCTGCATCGTATGAAAAGCGAGAAAACGTCAAAAAACACGGGCCTTCTGGACCTGTTGAAGATAACGATGAAATCGAGGAAGTTGTTGCTGAGGACTCTGATGTGTGTTTTGATGTGGATGACGTCATCTTTCAGTGTTTATACTCTATTAATCAATTCCGTCAATTTGGCTGGAAATAAATACTTGAATTACGGTGCTGTTGCTTGTGCTAGTTCAATGGCAGTTCTATCGGGAGGTTTTTTAATGGAAAATCTCAAACGAAGAGTTCCTCTTATCACCGGGATGGGTATGACTGGTCTTATTTTTATAATTCAGTCATTGGTTCCTAAAGGTAAGAGTCTCGGAGATGTAACTGCGTAACCAAACTATTACTCATTACAGTATATAACAGTATATCTAATATATGTGTATGACGGGTAGTCGTATATTGTGTGCTGGCAACTGCGAGAAACTACTTTTAGATTGCGCTAGTAGCACGTACATGAGACACAAGCGTTTGGACAGTTGAGAGTTTAGACCCATAGACACAGCCCACTGAGTTTCTCGCCGAATCCTCTCAGTGGGTCGCGTTTCCGATCCGGTGGTAGATTCTGCGAAGAACTGCCCTTGTTAGGGCCAGTGTTAGCAACACTCCGGTTTGAGCCCGTGAGCTCACCTACACGTCAAGGAGAAGCTGAAATTGCTACATCCCTACCTATGCTGATAGGTAGGGGAAAAAACAGTTGAGACGGCAAATCACCGGGTGGGGAATTAGTTATTTATAAGCCGTTGCGCGGAGTGCTCTGCACAGGGTTCGTGTTAGCAACGTCGTCAGGTTTGAGCCCCGTGAGCTCACCTACTAGTGTTAAAGTTACGCTGAAATAGCCTCTCAAGGCTGTCAGCTTAGGTAGGAAAAAAAAAGCTCTGCACGACTGCTCGCATTTGAACGGATGCGTCTTGGTGTACGGACCACTGTGCGTGACAGACAGTAGGTACTGCCCTGTGTGACCGCCTACATTGCCATTCGCCGTCTACAGAATTGTCCTTGATTTAGTTATCATTTACGATTGTCATTTGATTACTTCCGTCTCCACCATTATAGTATAATATTTAAATTACTGGGTTACGATTGCTGATTATTTAATAGTAGTAGTAGTTTCCTGTTGCTATGCCTCGGCTTCATTCCTGATGTCTGAGTCGTAACCCGAAATATACATATGAAATATCTTATCCTGGACGAATTAGTTTACAAAGATTTTCAAGTCAAATACTAATTAAAGTTAAACTATGACCACAGTAGTTGATCTTTATTATTACTATTAGTGCTCCTACTATTAATACTGCTTTATTACTATACAATTTTTCTTTGCAGAATATTCTTTGTTGGCTGCCGTATTATTTTTTATCGGCAAATACTTCTCAGCACTGGCATTCTTATTTATTTATTTGTACACTTCAGAATTATTCCCAACGTACACGAGAAATACTATGCATGCATTTTGTTCTTCTGTCGGTAGAATCGGATCCATTTTAGCACCTCAAACTCCACTACTGGTAAGAACTCAACAAGATAAAACGATTTGTTGATTTTTTTTTTTAATTTTACGTTTTAAGTCAGTTTCAATTCGTTAGTTCAATATTTTACCTATTATGTTTAAAAATGGAAGGATTTGATTCGAGCTCTACACCCCAGCAGAGGGTAATAGGAAAGAATGATGATGATGATGATGATCTTTAAAAATAATGTTTACTTTGAAATCGTCTTAAAATATCTTAACTATTAAAATAATTTGATACATTTCAGACCTATATTAGACATTAACCTATATTAAGCACTATATATGATATGTAGGTATTTCAATATTTAAAAAAAAAATAGAAATGTGATCTGCTATCAGTCACACTGAACGCCAAAATGTAGCCTTGGTAACCTTTTATACTTCCATCACTAAGCTTTAAAATGCAAATAATGCAATGAAACCGAAGTGTATTCACATTAAAAATCCCAAAAAAATTCAGGATATGATTAATACGCAGGAGTGAATACCTGACTAGAAATCACCAATATTTTCTTTGTCTAGTGCTATTTAGAATGGATTGAATAGATTATGGCATATTAAAACCATTTCAGACACAATATTGGTCGGGCATTCCTTCCATGCTAGTGGGGTCCCTGTCTTTGATCACAGCCATCGCTATCTTTCTTGTTCCTGACACATCTGAGGATCCGCTACCAGACACGGTGGAAGAGGCTGAAGCTATCGGACACAAAAAGAACAATATCTCTACATCAAGAGTTACAATAATTTCATCATGTTGTTAAAACACTTACCTATTTATTACCTACATATTTTCCAAATCAACAGAATTTATGAAAACTTTTAATTTTACGAAACAAAATTGTGACTTAATTAAAACAGCTAACCCAGGGTTAAAACTTTTTTTTTTACCCTGCGAGCCCCATAGGCACGGATACCTCGTAAGAAGTTCCCTGATCAACTGAAGCATCCCTGATCGAAAACAAGAACTTTACATAAATACTCGTGAAATAATTTTACGTTATAAACAAAACATTATTATGACCCTTAGAGTAGCTGCTCAAAAGGTGTTTTTTTATTTATTGCTTAGATGGGTGGACGAGCTCACAGCCCACCTGGTGTTAAGTGGTTCGGTACGATTATAGACATTCTTGTCGTGGCGCTGCATTACAAGAGTGTCCCTGTAACCTTCGAGAATTATTAATATATGGAGAGTCGAAATAACGTTAAGTACCGGAGTCATTTTGAATATAAAGCCAAGTAGCCATCTAAATGTTGGAAGTCCTCAACAAACCGAACTTCAAGCATTAATGCTCCCATCCCTATGGGCAGTGTTCTGAAGAATTGGTTAAGACGATCCCGTCACTTTCTTTTTACAATCGTACCGCCCACCGCCGGAGATTTATAAATCTATACTATCTAGGGCCACTACCTTCATCTACAATGCGTTTCCAGAGATATTTGTTGCTACGTACTATCTAGCTTTGGAATGAACTTCCCTCAGGGTATTTCCTTTACATTATGACATTGAAACGAGGCTTGAGGAGAGTATTTTTTGCTGGCATCCAAGTGCGAAGGACTACACATCTAAATACTCGCCTGTCTATAAAAGCCATAAAAAATATGAAGGTTTCTTTAACACTGTTGAATTAGCAACTGTTGAAACTCCACTCCATTGCTACACTTCTGCCTTTAAATGTCGAACGGTGGCAGTATTAGATAAATTTTCTTTACCTATTAAATTGGATAAAATAAAAAAGCAAATGTCATTCATGATCAGTGTCATTGTCAGTGGTGATATATTGCATTAATGACGATCTGAATGTGTTTACCAGATTTACCGGACTGTGGTATTTATATAGCGAATTGGTACAAAATTCACAACCAATTACCATGAAACCAAGTACAATGTTATGTTTTACGTTCTTTGCTTATCAATAATACTAACAATGTAATAAAACTATAGTCATTTGAAGCACATAAAATTATAACAATGGATCACATCCGACAGTTTGATTGGTAAGAAGTTGTATTTTGTTTTTTATAAAATCCAACCATTTCACACAAGTAAAGTAGTTTGATATACTGACAAAGAAGAAGAGTTGAGTGGTTAGAATTATTATTGGATGTCGATTGAGCCAAAAGCGTATCCAAGCTCTCCCATTTGCTAATGATACTTTTCTAACCTTCTTTGAAAGGCAGATTATATTTCTAGAGATATCTGATGGAGATCTGAATTAAAGTTCAATAAAATTATTTAAAATACCAATTCTATCTAACTTTAACTAACTTGGTAATGCAGTAGTTAGCAACCCTCACTATTACACTGAGGATTCTGGGTTCGATTTGATTCCTCAGACAAACATTATGTGATGAACAGGTTTGCTTGCTCTTTGTCCGAGTGTGTATTATCTATATATGTATATAATTAAATAAATATAAGCATGCATGTCAGTCTCTAGTAACCATAACATGAATCCTAAATTGGGGCCAGATAACTGTGTGTGATTTGTTCCTATTTATTTATTTATGTTGGTGGTGGTGGTGGTTGGTGTTGGTGCTGGAGGAAAATGCTGCGGATTCCCTGGACGGCGCATCAGACAAACGCATTAATCCTGGAAAAACTAGTTCTTCCACATGCCTAGGCATCTCCTTAAGACTCTCCACCATTTGCCTATGTAGAATTTTAGAGTTTTTCGGTCACATTGTGGGTCACGAAAATGGGTGACAATCTCAAAAGACTTCTCATCACCGGCAAAGTGGAAGGATAGAGGCCTATGGGGCATAGCCCCATGCGCTGGTTCGATCAGATTAAGACTACTTTGGAATCCGGCATCAATGTCGCTATCCACTGCTCACAGGACATGAGTGAATGGAGGAACATAGTCCTAACAAAAGTGCTCCGTAAAGGTCAAAACCCTCAGAACTACGATGCGCGGAGGAGGATATATTTATTTTTCAAATATAATATTCAGATTGTGATATCTGTGGGTTCTGGTTACCTCTGTAGCAGTGGTACCATGGCCTTAATCTTTCTACTTAATGTTTTACTAGGTTTATCTTTCAACATCTGGTAGACTGTAATATAGACTTGTCATGACGAGGTGTATTCATGCAAAGAAGGAAAATCAGCTCCTTTGTTGTTCTTTTTTAAGGTGCTCCACACCGGCTGATGTCTATTTTCTAACAGAAAAGGACCTGGACAATTGTGTTACAGAGAGGATCTTGCGTAATAGATATTATGATCCCTTAATATCTAGTGATTCTGATGAAGACGAAAGAGAGAACATAGATTGGGATAAAATATTTGAAAAGAAAAAAGATGTGAGTATTACTTAAAAAATTTAAATATTATTTAATAAAATTTATTAACTGCTAATATGATTAAACTGAAAAATTGTGATTTAATCCTGAATTAAATGCACAAAATTTAGAAATACCCTGTAACAATTTTAGGAGTAATTGATGAATAAAATGAATGCATCTTCTTCAATCCATGTCCACCCAATGCTGAGTGTAGGTTTCTTCAAGTGCACCCCATTCTTTTCTGCAAAATTCAATTCAATGAATGCATAATTCAAAATGTAAAAGTAGCATAATGCATAGCTAAACCTGATTCTAAAATTACAGAATGAAAAACAAGCCCGTGTTTATGTGCCTGCCCTACATTCGTTACCACCTTATCCAAAGATATCAGCCCTTACTAGTCAACAACACTACCAATGCCTTAAGGTGCTGTGTCAAGAGAACCCTCACATCATGCCCAGTTTCTTCATTCACAGACCAACGAAACTGGACTTGAAAGTGTTTGAGGTATGTTTAAATTATGATTTTTGAACATGAGGCAGCATAAAATTGCCTTTTTTCTGTACACTCTAACATTCTTAACAGACTTGTGACTAAAAGAAATTGTGCTTTTATAGTAATCAATTTGATACTTTTTCTTTTTGTTCTACTTTGGCTGTAAGGAATATAGATAACACAGACATTGATGTGTAAATTATATAGTGTAATGGTAGTCCCACTCTTCAAAACAGAAAGCATGAATACTTGACTGATGCATCACATATGAATACCATATTATTTTTTAAACCAACAACATAAAATTACTCATTAATGTTATATGAACAATCATGATTAATTATTTTTTAAATAGTGATTAAGAGGAAAACGTGAAAGTGATTACAATTTTTACTACCTGTAGAACACGCCCGCATGAGTAGGTACCACCACCCTGCCTGTTTCTGCTAAGCAGTTATGAATTTTGGTTTAAAGGATTAAGACAGCAGTTTATACTGATTACATTATGGTGGTATAGACCTTGTGTCCAATATCTACTTAACACCGCAAAGGCTGTGAGCTTATTCACATAGATGAGTTCTTTGGCACATTTGCCAATAGGTTGTTGCAATAGCAAAAAATTATTCATTGTTTTATCACATGAGACTATACTATAAAATATATTTTAGCAAGTAAAAGAGACCTATGCAAATGAACAAAAAGAATACATAGATTGGGTAAAGGGTCTCTGGGCCACTAACCACTGTATCCGTGCACTACGTCCCAAGCCTTCCGTCGAGATGGTTTACGAAGCCGAATTCAAAGTCACCGCTAATATGATGCAGTCGTTCCCAAAGACCTACCACTTGGTGGGTCAAATACCATTGGAGATTGCAAATGGAAACTGTGAAATTATACATCTTAAAGATTTACAAACTGTAAGTATTTTAATAGTTTCATTACTTGGTACTATAAACACTTCTAAAGTTTGAACAGCTTATAAGCAGGACTATTAACACTTTAATTTCATGTCTTAAAGTGGGTGGCTGCTTTCGGGTAATATCCATGGGCCCCGATAAACACTTGACTGTAGATAAACATCAGTATTAAAAATAAATGGTCCAGTCTGCCTTTTCACTATGATACATCTGTGGAAATTCAGAGGGCTTGTGCTCTCAACTAACCCTCATTATTTTTCAGGTAAACATATCTGAGCTGCCTGAAATAAGATACCCAGATGATATAAAAAGTAAATTTTCCATCTTCAAACCATACAATGTGCCGGAACCATGCTACAAGCACCCTTGTAGATTTGTACTGCCTGGTTAGTATACACTAATATATTTCAATTACCAAAGTTTTTAATATACGCAATCACAAGTTTAAATGTATTTAATTATTATGGTCCTCTTACAAACTAACAGTTAAACCATTACATTCAAATAGAATTATTAATTTATTTAACTTGTTGCATAAAAGTACAGTGGCGCACTTAAGACTAACGGCATACTACCAGTCAACCAAGGGCAATGTAAAGAGTGTGGTGTTAGGTGCATTCCTTTTTTTTTAATACTTATAATAATACTTTAGTTCTTATAATAATCATAGACATACAATTGCTACGCCGGTAAGAGTAACGCCATTTATCGCCGAATAGTCTAACGAATATCGAGCGTTCTAAGTATTATGATAATAATAGCCGTACTCGCCGGCTTCGCTGCGCATTTAAAATTAATATTATTATTTATTGTCATTATTATTAGGGAGTCCAACACTCGTATAAATATTATCCTATCCATTAAGACAGTTTCATAATTAATTGACAGGTGAGAAATCGATGACGACGCTACCGCTGGTGGAGATACACCGGGAGCTGGCGCAGTACGCGGGCGAGCACGGCGCGCAGTTCGTGGCCGCGGAGGGCGCGCTGCGGAGCCTTGTGCGGACCGACCGCCGCTGGGCGCTGCCCCTCACCGTCTGCAGCACCATCGGAGTCGGTGGGTCCCCCCCTCTCACCCGCACGCATCGTCCCCCTCACCCGCACGCACAGTGCCCCTCACTCGCACGCACCGTCTGGACGTATCTATATAATATGTATATAATTTCCAGACGGCGACGAATCGAACGTGATAGTACTAGGCAACGAATTCTCACTCAACAGAGAGCCGGCCTGCGTCAGGACTTACAAAGCCTTCAAATATTTACTTGAGAACGCTTTGAAACAGTGAGTTTGTATACTCTGTAATATTTATCGTATCTGTAATATTTATTTATTTTTATATTTACTATAGTCGAAAGTCGGAAGAGAATTAGTTAATCCAAGAATAAATTCTTCAAGCAATTGGTAATACAAATCTATTTTCACGAGTCGATTCACACTAATTCGACTTCGGCAGGCCGTCGACCCGGGCGCTCGGTCGTCAGGAACACGAGGTCCAGGGTTCGCTCGAGACCAGCTTCGAGGACGAGTCGGAGGACGGGTCGACCGCGGACAGCGAAGACGAGCAGCGGCTGGTCATCGACACCGGTGCGGCGCTCTTGTTCTTATTTGTCGACAGTATAATTACAAAATTAGAAATGCAAAACTAAACTTATATTACACTAGCGATCCGCTCCGGCTCCGCTCGGTTCTTTAACAAAAATTTCAACGATATTTGACGTTGTTTTAATTTTTTAAATAAAAGAACACTTATAGTTAATAATAGTTAGACATGTACTGTCGCGATACTTTTTGTAAATAATAATTTGTTCTACAAAATCGTAGTTCATTATTTTATTCTAACATCAATAGTTTTCGCAGGGCACGCGATGTAAACAATATTTTAGGTAATTTTTTTACACCTTTGGTTACATCATTGAAGTTTTAGTAAGGATCCTTAATTTTTTCAAAAAATATTATAGCCTATGTCACTCGGAAACAGTCTAGCTTCCGAGCAGTAAAAGAATTTTTCAAATCGGTTCAGTAGTTTCAGAGCCTATTCAATACAAACAAACAAACAAATCTTGCCTCTTTATAATATTAGTATAGAAGTATAGATAAATACTATTTAAAAAAAATGCCGGGAGATAACGATTCGGTAATTTAATTGATAAACGCGAAAATACCGTCAGACTGATACAGCTTTATGTTCGGACAGGTGACATGGACACTGACAAGGAGCGCGACGAGAACGAGTTGGCATCTCCGAAACGCAGCAGGAGGTCGGAGGGGGCGGACAGTGGGGGCGGGGGCCGAGGTGGGGGCGAGGACCAACCACAGCCGCCCAATGACGAGCTAGGAGTATACAGCTGCACTTGTGACGGTGAGCATCATTCGATCACGACTTGCGCCCTGAGCAGGTCGACAAGCAGCACGCGCTGCGGTGCCTCCGTTTTTTTTTCTACCTATGTTGATAGCCTTAAGAGGCTATTTCAGCTTCGCCCTAACGTGTGTAGGTGAGCTCACGAGGCTCAAATCGGAAGTGTTGCTAACACTGACCCTAGCAAGAGCAGTGCTTCGCAGAATCTACCACCGGATCGGAAACGCGACCCACCGAGAAGATCCGGCGAGAAACTCAGTGGGCTGTGTCTGAGTTAATTTACTCGCCGAGCCCTTCGTCGCAAGCAACGGGTTCGACGAGAACGGTGACCGGTGCTGGAGGTACCTAAAAGCACCGTTAGTGGATCGGGAGGATCCGAAATGACGTGTTTGGGGCGACGTCGACTGCTTTCCATTGTGTCCGCAGGATCGGGAATGTAGGCCACGGCCACGATGAGAGGGTTTTCAGGACGTGCCGCATTATCGAAGTGACGCATTGATGCGACTGTAGATACTTACTGATGGACTTTAGATTCAGGTCGTCGTGCAGGTCGACGTTCCTGACGAACCATAGGGCTCCCTTACTAATGTGAAGTCTGTCCCCAGAATCGAGCTCCGCCAGGCCTCCGCCGTGCTCCTTCAGGAAGTGGCAAATCAATAACAAGACTCACAAAGAAGTCCACAACATTGTGGTTCATTGCGAACATAGAGTCAGGGTAAGTCGGAGGTCACCGGTTTGTAATATTTATGAATACTAGTGATGTCCTGGTAGTCGAAATTCGACTATAATTAATTGAAATATAAGTTTGTACACTATTATGATTCTATTGTTAAAGACTATTAGACTTCTATGATCACAAATTTCGCCAAGACTACACTATAGAAAAATATTAATAAAGACAAACAATATTTAATCTATTCCCAATTTGACCACAGACGTCACAAACAAAAGTTTGACAATAAATAAATAGTATGCATGCGTGTGTGCGTCAAATACATGGCAGTGTGTGTAATGTTCTTTTTATTGATTTAATGTATTTTTAGGCATAATTTAAAAAAAAAATTAACACACTGCACTCTTTCTCTATATTCTCTATAAGTGTGGGAAATTTCATACTCCTCCGTCCGCGCAATTTTCATAAAAAGGGATACAAAGTTTTTCCTTCACGTATTAATATATAGATTCTTAGTTCAGTGAAATGATGTGTTGGTTGTAGCACGGCTCGCAGGAGGTGGTGCTGGAGCCCATACCGGAGTACCAGATCGACGTGGGGGCCAGCCTGCAGGCCGCGCCCACCCGCGCCGCCCTGCTGCTGGCGCTGCTGCTGAGGCGAGACGCCGCCGCCCTGCTGAACGGTACGTAGCGCCACGACACTAGGTAGAACTCTTAACGGGACCTCGTGGGTTAATACTTGTCCTGTATTTTTCTAATCTATCGATCTTCCTAATCTATCTTAAGAAGAAGGGAGTATCAGTAATACAAGTCTTTGAACCTAGTACAGACTTCAGCTCTTTCAAAGGCTTACAAAATAAAATTTAAGGTTAATTTCCATTTGTATTTGTACTATCGCTTTAAGAGAGGAATAAATAAATTATTATTATTATTATTTATCTTTATTTAAAATCTCATTAATTACATAATATTTTTTAAAAAAGATATTAATAATACAATTTTTAAAAAACACTATATAAAAATAGATTGCCGCTGATGGCGGTACGACACAAGCCACCAATGGTTAGGACTCCAGGGTGAGAAATCTCCTCACAATGCGTGCAGTATTATTATTATTATGATTATTTCATGAAGTCCGCGTGGAGGGTCCGACGGGGGACGTGGTGTGCGCCGAGCAGCTGTCCACTGAGCAGTTGTCCACCCAGCAGCTGTCCACCCAGCAGCCGATCTGCCCCCGCCGTGACGTCAGCAACACGCTAGGCTGCGTACTGTCGCAGCTCACCGGTCTCCTGCCAGGCCACTACGTGCTCAAACACGAGGTGCGGTCGCATTTATAACGACTTCTCATTCATACGACGATAAACATTCAATGCATTACGCATTGCATTAATGCAAACGTCGTCGCTCCCCCTCTTGCAACTGTCCACAGCTTAACGTCAGAGTGAGATGTACATATATGTAGGAACGGGACGGAACGAGTGAGAGAGATAGCAGATGTCGTGTTACTAAGTAAGAAAAATGGCGAATGAATGCGGAACACATGGTTTTATTTTTTATGCGAGAAAAGGGTAGTTGCCGGACGCAACGGTAGACAGACTCCGTGTAACATAACATAAAAATCAAGTTTGTGTGAAGTCATCAACCGTTTTACTGGCCCAACCTGAATATAAACTCTATTTTAAATAATAGAGAAAGCAATATACATTTTTTATTTTTGTTATTGCTTAGATGGGTGGACGAGCTTACAGTCCACCTGGTGTTAAGTGGTTACTAGAGCTCATAGACATATACGACGTAAATGCGCCACCCACCTTGAGATATAGGTTCTAAAATCAGAAGTATAGTTACAACGGCTGCCCCACCCTTCAAACCGCAACGCATTACTGCTTCATGACAGAAATAAGCAGGGCGGTGGTACCTACCCGTGCGGACTCACAAGATGTCCTACCACCAGTAGACATATTTGAGCTAGTAACCCAGCGGTTGGTTGTCGCAGCCGGAGCACGGTCGCAACGCGCTGCTGCTGGCGGCGGGCGCGGGCGGGGGCGGCGGCGGGGCGTCGGGGCGGGGGGCGCGGCTGGAGCTGCAGTTCGACTGCGCGCAGCTCGCGGAGCAGGACGAGGCCGGCGTCGCCAGGACCCCGCCCACTCTAGCGCCCATACTGCTGCCCTACCACAAGTGACTATCTCTCTACGCAATCTATGATATCATTTAATCGTCATTTTCAAATCTATACTCTATACTAATATATAAATCTGCAGTGGTTTTTACTGATGTTCCGTTATAACTACTGAACCATGCATCCGATTGACTTGAAACTTGGTATCCGTGTAGAAAATACATGTACTTAATGGATAGACTAATAGTTATATGAGTGTAGAACTCCCTACACCAGTTGCGGGAGCGTTAATGATGACAATCTTTGTGGGGGTGAGAAATAATAATATTCATTTTAACTGCCTAGCGAAGCGGACGTGTACAGCTAGTATATAATAATATTGTAAAAGACAATGTAAACGCACTACTGCGTATACATCATTCGAAGTACATATCCGTGTGGCAATCGACTGCTGGCGAGGTAGTCGGCTGCGGGTGTGTGCTAGTGTGGCCCCCCACGTTGCAGGTACCGCAAGATCCTGCCGTGCGCCTTCACGCCCTTCCAGAACCAAGTAGCCCGGGAACCGCGCAAGCCCGTCGCCAGGCAGAAGACTCCGCCCCAAGCCATCCAGGTTGCAATCTAATTTGAACCTTACCACAATTAGATTTAAGCTCAATTTAGTTTTTTATGTTCAATTCAATAGCTTCTCTAGAAGTTTTTTTATGGAACGTAGAAACTGAATAATGTGTTTTTATGAATATTTTCGGTGTTACTATACTAGTGATTTACGACGCTTGTGCGACTGTGAAGTGCCGCTAAAACAAGGCGGGTGAAGCCGCGAACTAAACTTATATCAGAAGTGGGAATCACGCGGTCAGAAACAACAAAAACATTGCGACATACTATTTAACCCTTTAATTCGAATATAAAACTAATTTTATTGTCTCAATACTGCCTACTACCTAACTAGGGATGGCGAGTGAAAGTTAATTTTAGTACAAAAACTATAGTAATAATTTCCGATGCGGCTAAAATCGCACTCATATTCTAGTGATACTTCTTTAAATCAATAGGGTTTAAGATTGGACAAGTATCACTGTTTTCACATTACAATGATTGGCACATGTTATTAGATTATGTACATCCCTAGTTATTACGGAGTATTTATCGCCCCTACTCGAAATTGATACTCTCGCGTTATTCGTTAAACAATGTTTATTTTTTTGACGTTTCGAATTAATGGGTTAATTAGGATAATTGAATGCAATCTGCAAATGAACCCCATAGGTCGCCTTACAGCAAGTGAGATCCGTAACTCAACTAGACTAGTCTGTGGGATTATGTTTTTTTTTTAATAACAAAATATTTACCGGCCTGGATTCTAATCCTTTAAGCCAATGTGATTTGTTTTGTATTGCCGATATCTATGGGTAGCGCTCTCGATCGTGTCCTACATCGTTCAGCAAAGGTAATTCAGATATAAATTATCAACGATATCGCTGTCACACTCGCACTTTATATTCTATGTGCGAGTTAAAAAAGGACAAATCTATTGAAGTTTTTATTCAATCGTATTACATATTGAATTACACGACTAGGGCTGAAAACGGAGACCTGGCTTGTTCAATAGTCCCTTTAAAAGAATTATTCAAGATTAAAGAATTTTATTTTTTTCGTCGAAAATAAAATATTCGACTTAATAAAGAAAACAAGATAGATATGTAATTAGTAAATGCATCACGACAATTTACCAGGCAGATGTGACGGCTTATCATTATATAAGTAAACAGCTCACAATTTACCTTCATTATTTTCCGTTTTACAATTAATTGTTTCTGTATTGCCAACCGTACCTCGAAGTCGCTACGAGCGTGTATTTCAATATGTAATAACAACAATAAAACTGAAGAGAATGTGTCCTGAATGTTTGTTTTTGTAACTGGACTATGGTGTTGTTCTTGTTGCTAGTTGCACGGGGCATCGGAGGATGGCGCAGCTACTCGTAAGGTACCCCCCCGACCCTCGTAACGAAGGGAGAGTTTTTATTAAGAAAAATATATGGTGATATTTACACAATCGTTTTGGTCGTTAAAAAATCACAGTTCAAAGTATTAGTTCGAACAAGAGCTCTGCTGGACTTAAATAAGGATCAATCGTAAAACTGCTTGTAATGTATCCGGTGACGTCACAAGAATATCTCGCGTACGGTCTGCACGAACATCAGTTTAATTGCTTGTATACGATTGTCGTTTCTTTTTCGTTAATGAATAATTTAAAAATAATTGCTCTTGTTGAACCTAATGCTTAAATTGTGTTAAAGTATTTATCGAAAAAGTCACAAAAATTTAATAGAAAATCGTTTGGCAAATTGTATCTTCATGCTATTAAGTATTACTAGTATAAGAATTTTAAAAATCTAATTTATCGTTTGAATCCCTTCTGACAATGCTTGACAGCTCTACTGCCAGTGTCAAAACAATATTCTTTTTTAGACTAATAAATTTACACGCGAGTGTAGTAACCGTACCCGAGAATAAAGATAGCTAATAGTGGTGATTGCCGACAGGACACTGAGAAATTGTGATTTAAACTTTTAACATCGCCCGCAATGAAACGCAATTCCATAGCGCGGGGTCAACGCCCTCTCGATCAACTGACTGCAACTAGCCAATATGGCGTCCGTTGTTGTTAGAACGGTAGTAACTTAGAACGATCGGATTACAATCTATATACTGACTTATTTTAATAGTATGAAGATACAAATTTGAATTTTCCATAATTTTTTCTCTTACGCCTTGTAAGAAATGAACACATCAGAAGTGGGAATTTTTTAATATTAAAAACTAATAATTATAAGTTAGATTTATAAGAGATGTTGCGAGCCCGCACGGGTTGGTATCACGGTCCTGCTAGTTCTTACAGCAACAGTACTAATTTGATAGTTGAATATATTTATGTAAAGGAATCAATCAATCTTTGAATCAAACAGAAAAAGTCTTTGAAAGGCTTTTTAAAGGTCGCCCAGATTCCCCACAGACCAATGGGAATTAAACAATAGACAAAGAAACGCGGTGGATGTCGCTTTGTTACAGGGAACTTACGACACTCGGCTGAACATTATGTATTAAGTGTGACGTCATTTGGGGCCTAAATAAATAACAAACCAACCATAGATTATTTTTAAACAATTAAACACATGAGTTGGATTGGCGTGCAAGTTATAACGTTAAAAATGATTAGAGATAAAGATTAGTGACTTAAAATTTAAATTACTGGATTTTTTTAATTTAATGTTAATGGTTAGTTTACTGTTGGTAAGACGTCTTGTGAGTCCGCACTGGTAGGTACCACCACCCGGCCTATTTCTGAGTTTCTCATCGGATCTTCTCAATGGGTCACGTTTCCGATCCGGTGGTAGATTCTGCGAAGCACTGCTTTTGCTAGGGGCAGTGTTAGCAACACTCCCGGTTTGAGCCCCGTGTTAAGGAGAAGCTGAAATAGCCTCTCAAGGCTATCAGTATAGGTAGGAAGAAAAAAAAACTGCACGTCTTCCATCGGCAGACAATGTGTTGTTTCCACGCTTCCATTGAGGTCTAGCCTCATTATTTCTAAAATAGTATTTAATTTAAAATATACACCATGATACCATTACGCATAATTAATTTTCAATGCCTTATACGATTGATACAATAAGTATTGTTTTAAAACATTTTTTTTTATTTGTGTAAATGTATGTTTATTTATATTTAAATTAACATTAACATTAATTTAACTTGATTATCATAGCATGATATTGTTTAGTGAAGTAGGTAAATGTTTTTTGATATCGAATCCTTGATTCTGATTTTTACAAAAATCTAACCGAGACGAATCTATACGTAAATATTTTTGGCTAAACTCTGGTTTCATTTAATTAGGTTAGTTTATTTAAATAATTATTTGAAAAGTTTCAGGCAAAGACAGATATACTATACAAATAAATAAAACTGAATTGTGTTTATAAAATCGAACTACCAACTTTTTACTAAATACATTTTTATAGGTAAGTAAAAAAGGTCTGTTTGTTTGTTTCGGTTAATCTCCGCTATCGTTAGTCCGATTTTGATGAGTTTGTAACTGGCAGATAACTGATATTATAAGAAGTAACATAGGCTGTTATTGAAAAAATAAAGGGTACACCGGAAAAGAAAGCCTTAAAAATTATCAATATCAGACAAAACTGTAACAAAGGGAGCACGAGCTTAACTAGTTTGTAATTAAATTAAAACCAATTATATGTTCATTTTGCATCGTTTTGCAAGTCCTACGTACCTGAACTTTCACTTGAAATTCTGAAGTCTAATGAAGACCGGTATTTTTAAAGCATTCTTCGCGGCCGTGCAAATGGGTTTAAACAGTTAAGGTAGTTCAAAAAAAGTAGACATTAAAATATATATGTAGATTATGTTATGTTAATATGTAACATAGTAATATAATGCATACAGTAAACATTATAAAAAATCTTAATGGACAAGTAATTTCAATAGTTTGCTTGACTTTCATTGCTTCTACTAACTTTCGTTATCCATACTGACATCTTCAAGTGAATCACGACTAAGTACCCTCTGTAATAAGACGGCCGTGTTATGTAAATGCTTATCGAGGGGTGAAAGGCTAATTGGTTAAGCGACATTTTACTTAATACGCGACATCTCTGTAATGAAAGGTGCGTTTTATTCGGTATTATTAGCATTAACAGTTCGATGTTATTAATTGAAACTCAACTAAGTTAAGTCCATTCAAATAACTGAAGAAGTATTTTTGATATTCTTACGCGTTGGGGTTCAGGATAAATAAAAATTCTACAGACATACAAATTAAAATTTTATTTAACACTTAGAACACTCAAAGAACACTTTACAACTCGTAGTTCACTTCTTCCGCTTCGCTTCAGGTGATCCGTTCGCTGTTTCGCTTCGAGTAGTTCCGATTACTAACTGCCTTCGTGTCATCTCTGCAACGCTTTCATAGTCGATACGGCATCCCTAGATTTATCGAGAATATTCTGGGGAAGTCGAGTAGCTTTAATGTGTTTCCGCTACCTAACAATAGATGGCGTTGTACTTCTCGAGCGTTCTTGGTGTTACTAGTTCCTATGGTAATCCTTTCTGCTATTCGGCGATAGATAGCGTTACTCTTACCGACGTAACATTGTTAATTTCCGAAATTTAAACATAAAATGGCGCTCCTGTCAAGTTGCAAAAATGTCCCTTAAACCCAATAGCAATTCATCCCTCGATATGTTATATTGACAATGACGTCACAGTGAGTGTCGCATCGGAACAGATACATGGGATGAGTCGAGTAGCTTCACAAGAACACAATCCGTGCACAAGGACTCACTATCGCCGTCTCATTTAGATGTTCATACTACAAGTATGGATTGATGCGGCATAATGGTAGCACCGTCCAAACAAGAATATACTAGGCCGCCTTAACCTGACCTATGATGTCATATGTCAGCTAATCCAAGGACATTTTTTTTTAAATTGACAAATATTCCTTAGTTATTAACGTTTCTTATGTATATATTTCGTGAGACTTACTAAAGATCTTTGTTACAGTGGCCGAAGAAAAAAAGGAATAGGTCTCAAAGGAAAAAGAAAACGCCAAAAACTGATTATTAGTTATTTATTTCAATAAAAAAATAAATTATATAAAATTGACATGTTGAAGTGTTGTATTATAATGAATAAACGAGTGATTGTTTATACACCGCTTGGTTTTCAATTATCAAAATTAAATTAAAAGGTGATACAGGAAACGTAACCGTCTGTATGTATGCTCCTTAAGAATTCTAGATTCCTTCGGAGGACTGCTGAAATTTATTTTCTCTTACAATTTTGATTTCACAGTTTTTATACAGTGAATATTATGATTTTTTTTTATTGCCCTTGTAGGCAGACGAGCACACGGCCCACCTTATGGTGAGTGGTTACCGTCGCCCATGGACTTCAGCAATGCCAGGGGCAAGCCGCGGCCTACCGCTGAAAATGTAATGATTTATCTGCAACCACGAGGAAATACTAAGTCGATCAAGTAAATGACTTAGTTGAATGTATGCAGGTCGCGAGCGGGTGGTTGTCGAAGCTCATCGGCGTCGGCCGCCCCCTTGAGGCGTGAGGTCTGAGTCTCAACTGTTTGTGTGTAACGGCTGTCGCTCCCTTCGGATCCGAATACAGTTAGAATACGCTTAGTGCGAGTTTTTTAACTTCTCGATCACGTAAAAGTTAATTCAAATTTGTATCGTATTGTAATTTTAATTTTTTAATTAAAATTTAATTAATTTATTAAACCTAAAATTACATTAGTTTATTAATTTAATCAAAACCACGTTTAACTAATGATTGCGTGGGCCGTCGGAATATTGGAGACACAGTTTTCAACGAATATACGAATATACCCGTCTGAGGATCTACAGCCGACACGTATAGTAAGTAATGAACAGTAATACGTGGTAATAATAATACGTAGTGTAATAGTAGTATTGATATAACATGATGGAACACATGTACAATACTAAGCAGCCTCATCGAAGTATCCGTCCAGCTGGGTGGCGATCTGGAATACATCAGTAAGTTATCAACAGATGTCGCTGCACGTAAATTCAACAATTCCTGAATCGCGGTGACGAGATGTTACAGAAATAGGCCGGGTGGTGGTACCTACCCGCACGGACCCACAAGAGGTCCTACCACCAGTAAATATTTGAGTCCCCGGCCCGAATTGCCCGAAAAAAAAAGTAGGAGGCGACGTACCTGCAGCGGCGTGTACTTGACGTACTTGTCGGGGTTCTTGGAGAAGGGCAGCGCGGCGGCGGCGTCGTAGAAGGCCGTGTAGGGCGGCAGCAGCGCCTGCTTGTTGTCGCGCTTGAGGGCCTCCCGCAGCTCGGCGTCGGGCACGCTGTACCCGCGCTGCAGCCGCGTGCACTCCTCCCACTCGCGGTTGAAACACTGCTCGTAGACAATACCCAATAACTACTTATAGATAAGCTACACAAACACTCAACAAAAATATTTACGGGCGTCGGCCACTAGATGGCTTCGCTTCGATTACTTTCTACTGGTGGTGGAACCTCTTATGAGTCCGCACGGGTAAGTATCACCGCCCTGCCTATTTCTGCCGTAATGCGTTTCGGTTTGAAGGGTGGGGTCGCCGTTGTAACCATACTGAGATCTTAGAACTTATATCTCAAGGTGAGTGGCGCATTTATGTTGTAGATGTCCATGAGCTCCAGTAACCACTTAACACCATGTAGGCTGTGAGCTCGTCCACCAATCTAAGCAATACAAAAAAAAACAATTCTTCAGAGCTACTTACCGAAAATTTGTCTTTGAGCATTTGCCGGTCCCTGTCCCTGAGTTTGGCGGGGAGCGGCTCGTCCAGCTGCACGTAGGACAGCAACTTGTTCCAGCTGCTGGCCAACACGCATTGTTGGAGAGAGACCGCCTTTTTTTTTTCTACCTGAGCTGAGAGCCTTGAGAGACTATAACAGCGTAGCCTTAACTAGTAGGTGAGCTCACGGAGTTCAAACCTGATGGCATTGCTAACACGAACCTTAACAAGAGCCGTACTCCGCAGAACCTACCACCGGTTCGCGGAAACGCGACCCACTGAGAAGATCTTGCGATAAACTCAGTGGGCTGTGACTGTGGGTTAATTTACTCGTCGAGCCCTTCGTCGCAAGCGACGGGTTCGACGAGAACGATGACCGGGAGACCACCTCCGACTCCTCCATAGCTCAACAACGGACGCGTGATAGGACAACCGCATCATGTCTATAGGCGAGTGGGTGACATTCCCTTTCTTGTGTCTATGGCCACCATGACCTTGGCCCGTCTACAGTGTCTACTGGAGGTATATCCTTTTCTATCCTAATATTAGAATAGTTAACTGACTTTTTGGCGGGAACGCGAGGAGTGAAGTTGTGTGATTTATTTTGTCTATTTAGTGTTTCTTCGGGTATAAATGTGTAATAACGGTGGTTTATTAACTGTTTAATATCTGTGAAAGTGCACAAATGTGGGAAAATGAAACAAAGCCGCCGGACGTAACTTCTCGGGTTCCTCCAAAAAGTCCACTGAAAAAATCTCAGTAAATGACCACTATTTTACTGAGATGGTATTTCATCTCGTTTCATTTAATTTAATCTCATTTGATTAATGTCTCAAATTAATCATCTTCATTTCATTTCATTTCACTTCATATTATCATTTTTCATAAAAATAAGAATGTAAATGAAAATAAGAAATGACTTAAAGGTCTTAGTTACCAGGTCATAAAATCCCATAAAAAAAAGAATAGTTAACTTGTTAAATAGTTGACTGGAAGAACTAATTGCAAGAAAGCTCCTTGCGTTTATGTCAGCCTGGTAATTCCAATGATGTATAAAGGCGTTACTTCATTCTATTTACACGAGCAGACAGGTCATCCGACAATAAGCAAGTGATCTTAAGGCCAAAGAAGCGTGCACTTTTAATGGCAAGTGGGACTATGACCTCAAAGTAATTGTACTTTGAGACATGAGGTCGAAGTTTCTAGTATGACTTACAACAGAAACAGAACTATAGTACTCTTAGTTCGCTAGACTGTGATCGTACGAAAGCTGACAGTGTCAGTGGGCTGTCGATACACGGCTTTTACTAGGTTAAATTATCGTCTTTTTACCGAAGATTGTTGTAGATATCATTTTCTTTTATTCCACTTCCGTGAAGACGGAAAGTATAGCTCTCTCTTTCTCTACCTCATATTTCTCTAATATCAATTTTCGTCTACTTATCGACTATCGCCTAATCGCCACATAAAAAGCAAGATGACAAGACCGCATGGATGGATACCACCATCCTTTGGCATGTCTACCACGAAGCCATCCTACGTATCGACCTGAGGGGTCATACAAGCTCGCGACTCAAACGGGGCCGTTTACAGCGCGATAACGAATATCAGGAATGATTGGCTAGGGTGAGGTTATCGTGTCCCAGGGCCGAGGCGGGTACCTCTGCAGGTAGGCGCTCTTGTGCTCTTGCAGCATGTCCCGGTAGTTGGCCTCGCAGTCCGGCTCCGCCAGGCACAAGATCTCCAGCAGCCCGGTGCGCTGCAAGCCCTGTGGGGACAACTGTGTGCTTAGTGGGAGTTTTTTAGCGTTCTCGATAGCGTAAAAGTTAACCCAATTTTGTATGCAGTTGGAACAGCGCCCCTAACGGCAAACGTAGGCAAACGATCCCATTCCAGCACACTGGACGTTAGACTCTATCACAATTAACACTATTGTACTAGTAAGTAGTACTACTAACGAAAACAGACCTAAAACCTGCTTAGGGGATGTACTATTTTTTATTGCTTAGGTGAGTGGACGAGCTCACGGCCGACCTGGTGTTAAGCGGTTATCGGAGCCCATAGATGCGCTACCCACCATGAGATATGAGTTCTAAGGGCTCAGTATAGTTACAACGGCTGCCCCACCCTTCAAACCGAAACGCATTATTGCCTCACGGCAGAAATAAGCAGGGTGGTGGTACCTACCCGTACGGACTCACAAGGGGTCCTACAACCAGTAAAAGTATATTGAACAATGACATCAATTTACGCCATGAAAATACAACACCATAACTAGCTTTGCGGGTAAATGCAGTCTTTTCCCTTGGGTTTATTACCAAAGAATAAGGTAAAGTTCTGAACTCCAAAAACCTTCCAACGCGCCGTACCAACAATACTGAAGACGGCATTGATAAGAACGTAATCAACGGAGTAGTACCCGTCTCATCGTTCAACAATCGAAATTCGACAAAATTCATTGACACCTTAAGGTTTACATTCATTTTATTAAGCTATCGCATAGCTTATTATCGCGGGCTTTGAGCGCGGCGCCCGAATCCAGAAATTCCGTAACGAAAATAAAACCTAACACCCCCCACTCCGCCTACCATGTAGCTCGCGTTCAACACGTTGCGCTTGTAGTGTTTGTGAATAAGCGCGCGGCGTGACGTCGCACTGCATGCGCATCATGAAAAATCTACCCATCTCTCTCTCGCGCGGTCTAGCTTATGAGTGTGAAGGGGGCAGTTAATGTTTTGATTTTGTTAATGTTTATAAATATAGCGTGGTCTTATTTTGTTATCGTTTTAATATTAAATTATTATTATGTAATTATAATTGCATAAGTTGATAAAAAATGCTATGCTTTAGCGCGGCATTCCCCGAGTGCCACACGTGTTTTTTTTACAACAGTGTCTCGTTTGCTGTGTTGCTCATTTAGAAAAAAAACCATTTCCAAAACCAAATAGTCTATAAATATAAACAATAAAATAAGCAAAGTAGAACTGACCTGCAGCAAGTAGAGCGTGTTGTTGAGTAAGAAGATCGCCTTCAGCGCGTCCGAGTACTGCTCGCTCTTGTTGCGGAGAGCGAAGTTCAACTGCGCTAAGACTTTCCCTGACAAGTCGGAATACGGCTCAAACTTACTTAATATAGAATAGTTTATTGTTAACTGAAATTGTAACGATTTTTTAGTATGATAATTAGTTTGTTTCACATCCAAGTCGCGTCCTACTGTGTTTAACTCTATAGGACCTTTAACGATGCAAGATGATGTATCAGATGTAGAAACACACACAATAATAATAAACATCGGTAGGCAGCGGCTTGGCTCTGCCCCTGGCATTGCTGAAGTCCATGGGCGACGGTAACCACTCACCATCAGGTGGGCCGTATGCTCGTCTGCCTACAAGGGCAATAAAAAAAAAGGGTCAAACAATTTTTCGAGATGCGTCGTTTTGGTTTGGTTAAAAGAAGAGGTAGACTTAAGAAAAAATGGATGGATTGCGTGAAAGACGATATGTGTATGAGGGGAGTGAGCGAAGAAATAGTATGTGATAGAGGAGTATGGGAGGAGAAAACATGTTGCGCCGACCCCTGCGTGATTGGGAGAAGCGACAACTTCAAACAAACAATTCCTCAGAAGTACTCCGAGAAATTGTTTGGGATGATGCCATCATCTCGTTTTTACCATCGCACCGCCCGCCACCGGAGTAGAGTTCATTCATAGTAGCTGGAGCCACTGCGTTCATCGACAGTGCGTTTCCAGAGATCATTTTTGCCACGTACCATCCGGCTATGGAATGAGCTCTCCCCTCCACGGTGTTTCCCGAGCGCTATGACATGTCCTTCTTCAAACAAGGCTTGTGGAGAGTATTAGGCGGTAGGCCGCAGCTTGGCTCTGCTCCTGGCATTGCTGACATCCATGAGCGACGGTAGCCCCTCACCATCAGGTGGGCCGTGCGCTGTTTGCTGGGGCAATACAAAAAAATGATGATGCATCGTTTTGGTACATGAAGCTTTCAGATCCATTTGTCTCACATAAAGTGCGCGCGTGTGCGCGTGTGTGCGTGTGTGTGTGCGTGCGTGCGTGAGTACGCGCTTGCGTGTGCGTGTATGCGTGTATGTGTGCGTGCGCGTGCCCCAGGGGCTCCTCGCATCGCCTACAGCTGTGTCGGATGTCGGCGCACTCACTCATGTAGACGGCCAGCACGGCGGCGTTGCGGTCGCGCGCGGCGGGCAGCTGGCTCACGGCGCGCTGGTACGCGGGCTCGCCCAGCAGCGCCGGCCCTGCCCCGCGCGTGCCGTTAGNTTGCGTGTGCGTGTATGCGTGTATGTGTGCGTGCGCGTGCCCCAGGGGCTCCTCGCATCGCCTACAGCTGTGTCGGATGTCGGCGCACTCACTCATGTAGACGGCCAGCACGGCGGCGTTGCGGTCGCGCGCGGCGGGCAGCTGGCTCACGGCGCGCTGGTACGCGGGCTCGCCCAGCAGCGCCGGCCCTGCCCCGCGCGTGCCGTTAGCAGAGAGCCCTCAAGTGTACTCAAGTATGACTCGACAGACTTGCAGTAGGCAGTGGCCTGATTTCACCCCTGGCATTGCTGAAGTCCATGGGCGACGGTAACCACTCACCATGACGTGAGCTGTGTGCTCGTTTGCCTACAAAGGCAATAAAAAAAAAAAAGACATGAGGACACACGTTCGGACTGTCGATAATGTCAGTCTCACGAATTGTATTTTGGTACTTATGTCTGTTTAGTACTGCACGAGCCACTAGGGGTGTTCTGAAGCCGTTTCCTTTTCACCGTCGCAATCTTCCTTATTAAGGATAGAAGACCCTTTACCATAGGAAACGATTCTTCGTGAAATTGCAGATACGGACGATGGTTTATCGACAATTAGGTGCGTCTTCAGTTCATGTCCTTGACAACAATGTTTATAACGAATCAAATATTCATTATAGGCATTTAGGGATGTGCAATAGTCACCGATGGCGTGCATGTACTGCGCGAGCGCCTGGCAGTGGGCCAGCGCGGCCAGGGCCAGCTGGTGCACCGTGCCGTCCACCGCGCCGCTCGCGCCCTCCGCCCGTATGCGCCCCACCCACTCCTCCAGCGCGCGGACCCCCTGCACACGAGACACCCGGATCACTCCACACTCCACACACGGACTCGGAACTCCCCGATCTCTCTCATTAAGTTTTACAAATGTTCTTTTAATGATGGCCTAACGCTAGCTTTTGTGATATTTATCAGTCGTGGACTAGGACTAAACTAATCAATTTGATTGTTTTGTTACATAGGTATGTTACAAGGCTATTTCGATAAAGCGACATGATACGGGAAGCCTGTCATCGTGGCCGCCGGTAGCCGATCCCGCGGACCGAATGGTAAACATTCGACGTCGCCCAAAACACGTCATCTTGGATCCTCCCAATCCACTAACGGCGCTTTTAGGTATCACAAACACCGGTCATCATTCTCATCGAACCCTTTGCTTGTAACGAAGGGCTCGAACAGATACAGCCCACTGAGTTTCTCGCCGGATCTTCTCAGTGGGTCGCGTTTCCGATCCGGTGGTAGATTCTGCGAAGCATGGGTCTTGCTAGGGTTCGCGTTAGCAACATCGTCAGGTTTGAGCCCCGTGAGCTCACTTACTAGCCCGGCGATGCTAACATGGTCTCTCTAGACTATCAGCTTAGGTAGGAAAAAAAATTACAAGGTATCTATATTAATATATAAATCTAGTGGTTTTTACGGATGTTCCGTTATAACTACTAAACCATGCATCCGATTGACTTGAAACTTGGTATCCGTGTAGAAAATACACGTACTTAATGGATAGGCTAATATTTATATGAGTATTGGACTCCCTACACCAGTTGCGGGGGCGTTAATCATGAGAATCGTTGTGGGGGTGAGAAATAATAATGTTAATGTTAAATGGCCAGCGAAGCGGACGGGTACAGCTAGTATGCTTCTAAAGTCGCAAGGCATGGTTAGGTGAAATGTGTTGAGGGTACTGACGTTCGTTTGACAGGTGTGCAGGATGGCGTGGAAGGGCGCCGGCGACGCCGGTGCGAGCGCCCGCTCCAGGTCCGGCTGCAGGCGCAGCAGGCGGCAGTACAGCGCCCAGCACGCCGCCGCGCCGCCCCCGCAGCGGTGCGCCGCGCGCCGGCTGCGGCCGCACACGCGCTGCACGACAAACATATCTTGTTTTTATAGCTCTAAACTACCAGATATGAAGTCTAGCTCTTCCGGTGTAGTGTTTACCCAAGCCTGCTCGCATCACGTACACAATGCCACGGTATTTATGGTCTAAAACGTTGTACAGGCGACTGCATAAGTGCATAGACACCTTACATTTCTCGCATCTAAGAATTAGGTATTGGAATTGCCGATTGACTTTTGCTGCACATTGTACATGACAATGATCTTTCGGCTATTATTTAGTAGAATGTGAGGTCGCGTCGTCCGTCCCCCGGCCCGTCGCACTGCGCGACCCAACTTTTCACGCCACGTCTGCCGCGTCACATCACGTCAGGGCGCGTCACATCACGTCAGGGCGCGTCACATCACGTCAGGGCGCGTCACGACACCCCACGTCACGTCACGTTAGGGCGCGTCAGAGTGCGTCACGTGCGTACCTCCACGTCGGCAGCCAGCAGCGCGAAGCAGTCGGCCAGCACGGCGTTGAGCAGGGCGGGCAGCGCGGCCAGCGGCACGAGGCCGAGCAGCGCGCGTTGCTCCGCGCGGGCCAGGCGCGCCACGGCGCTGGCCACGCTGCCCGCCACCTCCGCCTCCCACTCGTCCAGGGCCTCGCTGCCGGACTCGTCTCCGTCTACACAACAATTCATCTTCATAAAGTAATGTCTGATCCTAAAATAACTCTATCATAAGATTCGCTATCAAAAGTAAAATGCACACAGCGCTAAATTCAGTGTTTGGTACTCAATATCTTTGACATCATAATATGACACACTTGTGTCTCGTACGAAAAATCCAATTCCAAGATTAGCATATTTTTATTCTTAATCAAATGTGCGCAATTAGCAATGGACAACAGCAGCAACGCAGCGAGGGGGGCTGCGCAGGCCGAGCATCGTGAAAAATCTTGAATAGGTCTGTGTCTAGCAGTGGACGTCTGTGGATTGATGATAATGACAGACTGACCTCAATGTCAAGAGCACGAAGGATAACCTTACCTATACCTCGAGGAGCGAGACCGACTTGCCTCAGAACAGCTAAACAAAAATGATCCAAATGCGATCGAACTCACATTCAGCGATGGACTTGCGAGGCCCGATGGCCAGCCCGGTGGACTGCTCCAGCGTCTGGGAAGCTTTCATCATGATCTTGTTGGCGCGCTTCTCCAATCTACAAATGTCATGGAGCTCGTGGTGGATGCGTGGCGACCGGTCTGTACATACTGGTGGTAGAACCTCTTGTGAGTCCGCACGGGTAGGTACCACCACCCCGCCTATTTCTGTCGTGAGCAGTGATGCGTTTCGGTTTGAAGGGAGGGGCAGCCGTTGTAACTATACTGAGACCTTAGAACTTATGTCTCAAGGTGGGTGGCGCATTTGCGTTGTAGATGTCTATGGGCTCTAGTAACCACTTAACACCAGGTGGGCTGTGAATTCGTCCACCCATCTAAGCCAAAAAAAAAAACTTGCAGCCGACACGCTCCCACTCACACACACGGCGCGAGCGGGGAACATATTAAGCCACAGACCATAGACATATAATTGAGTTTTTTATTGCCCTTGTAAACAGACGAGCATACGGCCTACCTGATGGTTTGTACGATTGGTTTATATACACACGTGCCACGTTGTAACCATACTAGTTCGAGGGATGAAACTAAAACTTTAAACCTCCCCACCCCACGAGGTAGCCATACCAACATCGTGTGTGTGTGTGTGGGTGTGTGCGTGTGTTTTGTGCGCGCGTGTGTGTGTGTCTGTCTAGTGTTGTTTATATTTATGTTCTACTCACACTTTCTGTATTTTGCTGGTGCGTCTTTGTGACGTGCTGTCAGAACGATTTAGTAGATTTTTAGCTCTCTGCGAATAATAAATAACAAGCATTTTTCCTTGTGAATACAAACGTACTGTATTATTGTACACTCGTACTTAGTGTACTATAAATATACATGAGTTTGATGATGATTTTTTTTCTCGATAACGTCAATATTAACTCAAATTGGTATGCAATTTGAACAGCGCCCCAAGCGGCGAACGTAGACAAACGTTCCAACTTCATACAAATTTGAGTTAACTTTTACGCTAACGAGAACGTTAAAAAACTCTCATTAAGCACACTGATGAGGAAACTTATCTAATACAATTGGCGGATAGGTATCAGCACAAGTCCGTACCATGAGCGGTGAAGCGGCCACGGATCTCTCCCGCAGGTAATCGCGAAAGGCAGCGAGGGCGGCCTTGGCGGCGGGGGCTCTGGCCGCCATCAGGGCTGCAACGGGAGCCCGGCCCGCCGCCGACAGCCAGCCCGCGGCCGCCCGGAGCGCCTCGCCCTGCACGCTGCACGACGACGAGCTGCCGCCCACGCTCACACTCTCCACACTAGAATCTACAGCGACCACCCACCGACCAGACCAAGCAATGTACTCTATATGTGTAAGAAACTATATTTCTTTATAGTAGTACACTATCGATAGTTAAACTATATTTCTTTATAATACAAAGCCTGTCCCACCCTTCAAGCCGGAATGCATTACTGCTTGCCAGTAGAAATAGGAAGAGCGGTGGTACCTACCAGTGTGGTTTCACCAGACGCCCACACGGGCAGGAGGGCAAAACGCACTACATCATATAACAAATCATCAAAGTACCTTCTTCCAATGCAATCATATCCATAATTGCCGTGGGCGAAAGAGGTCTCGTGTTACGATTCAATAGCTCTTCAAAGGCACTTTCCAGTTTTGATACTCCCGTGTTGTAGAGTTGATTCTGATATTAAAAACGTAATAGTTTGATAAACTGACTGATAAATCTTTAATAGACATACATTTTTAAAGTTAATGTAGTTTATTAAATATTCCAGTAAATATTTCCTTGAAATGCTATAAGGCATGTTCCATTATTTTTGCATTACAAACAAAACAGAATACTGCGGGGCACACAGAGTAATATAGATGTAACTTAATTACACTGATCACACTAGCACAATACAGCCATTAAAAAAGTTTTGCACTTAGTTAATAAACTAAACCAAAACAGCATCTGTTTCACTGCTATCCGGAATATTGTTGTAACTTTTGTGAACGAAAATATTTAAATAAATACAAATAACTCACTATATTCTCTAGCTCAACACTCTGTGGATTATTCTTATTGAAGTATGTCTGTGCATCAGCCAGCTTATCCAAAGCCTAAAATATAAAAACATAAGCAATAATAACAATAATACATATACTATTCTATCCTGGCTCACATAGCTATTGTCACGTGGCATATTGATTCAATTATTATTGTTTCAATATGTTAGTACACTGTTAGGTAGCAAAAAGCTTAAACTAACACCTTAAGAAATTTCAATCTTCAGCTGGGTTTGGGGCCTGGTGTAGAAATTAGTCACTCTTACACTATAGCATGTAATGTCAGAAGATTCCTCACTCTGGAGTCTTAACCACCAGTGGCTTGTGGCTTAATATAGCTTGTAGTTGTAGACACAACCATCGGCAGCAATCCAAATTTTGTATAGTATTGGTTATAAATGCGGTTTTAATCTTTTGTTTAAATAATTATTGTATATTTAATATAACATTTTAACTATATTATTATAATTAATAATAACGAATACAGTATTAAATGTGTCATAATACACATAAAATAATTTAAACTGTTTTTTATATCAGGCTACAGGTGTCCTGAGCTATACTTAGGCCTCCATCAAGAATCATTACAATGACTGGCCCTGCAGTGCCCACTTCTAATGGATTTCCTCAATCTTCAACAGGTCTAAGCGCTGGGAGGCCCACTTTGGGTTTACCAAAAATCAATCTTTGACCATACCTCCAAGTAAATGTTGAGTGTCTCTGTAGTTGTTGTATGTGGACCTGCTTGTATTAAATCAGCCAGTTCCCTCGATACCATGTAATAATTGATTACATGGTCTAAAGCTTTTGCCGTTCGCTCCATATCTAAAAATATTTATTGTTTTATTTCTTTCTAAGCTTTTAACAAGATTACTAGAATTCAATATCAACTGCATGTTTACAGCTCACTTTAATGGATCATATGGTAGTACACCAGGTGCTCTAATTATGAGTAATAATATTTTGTAATGTGGTAGACCAGGAGGGTTTATTTAACATTACTTACTTTGATGTACAAGTTGTAATCTTGCAGTGTCTCCATATAAGGGCAACACAGCTGTCTCAAGTTGTTGAAGCCTTTGCTCACATGCACCGAGCACATTACATACATCATTCGCCAGTGTCGTACTCCGGTTTGCGGCCGACTTCAGCTCTTGTATATTCATGATCTCCTTAGAACACAAATATTAAAAATGAAAATAAAGTAAATATTTTTTTATTTCATTTTCAATTTCATTGTTTTGTTGAACAATTTATTTTATTATTATTTACTGCAATAGAATTGAAAAGTTGTTTTATTGTGCGCTACTATGATTACCCATGAAACAAACTTTCAATTTGTAGACTTGTATATACTGTGAATAAATACACAGTGATACAAAGCTAATCTCCAAACTATAGTTTATCATAAAGTAGCACATGATATTGCACAGCCATGACTAAACAGTGCTAAAACTAAAATAAAATTAGTCGGTAACTCAATAGAATCACTATTAAGAGGGGCGTTTTCATTGCACTGTATTTTATATCCTTCAAATTATTTTATATAATCTAGTCTTAAGTATAATACATAGTCGAATCAAATTTCATTTGGCAGTTTTTGTAAATATTTTATTTAACAATGAAAAATTTCTATATTCTATTCTTTTTTTTTATTGCATAGGTGATTTTTATTGCTTTGATTATTTTTTTTCTATTCAAATCCAAGAAAGTAGCTTTATGTACCTTTCGTAACTTCATTTCTATTTCGAACTTCTTCTCAACAGCGTACATTTTGAATGTAACCGAATGCACCGTGAAATGAAGTAGAATTGATTTTATATCTTTAAGCTGCGCTAACACATAACATTCCACATCTCAATTCAGCTGACGATCTTCTTCTTCTTATTTCAAAACTATTCAAAACAAATCATCTGTAACTAAGGGTGAAACCGATATATTAGTATTCATTAAGATATTCGTAATACAGCTTGTATTCGTGTATCGGTAATCCGTCGAATTCTGTTATGCTAATATTCCGTATTCACTTTATTCTTAATACTTAGCTAACTTACATCGGTCGGGTTGTATCTATCACTCGAAAATATATTGGCATACGCCGTACCTGTCTCGCGGTATGAGATAAACTACATGTTGATGTACTGAGCAATGAAAATAAGTACATATCGTTATGAGTTTAAGGATTATTTTGTATTGCACTTTTTACATGTCAAAGATGCTAGTGAGAATTTTTTAAATACATTACTTTTTAATGTTTGAACCTTCATTTCTTGATTCAACTAAAAATTCTACTCAAGGCAAAATAGGTAGTGCATTTTTACATTTATTGGAATAAAACCGGGGAGCTTTATTTTCATTATTTTAATTTTATTTTCTGTTCCCTTCGAATTAGTTGGTTTTAAAACGATGATTTGAAAAACGAAAGTAGGTAGTTGACATTGTTTACCAATTTCATAAATTAAATTATTTTTACACAAAACGTAATACGGCCAGAACTAAATTAAGTGTTTAAGAAATTATGACGACAATATAATAATATTTTTGCGGTGGTATTTAATTATCTTCTAAGAACTTCTCAAAATATAAATAAAAGTTTGATTTTTGAATCGAAATGACTTTCTAAACAAACGGTTCGTGGATAATATAACTGTTGTGTGCTTACTAGCCACCTCAGTACCGTGCGAGAGGATTTTTTCAAAATCTGGTAAACTCATTTCTGACCGACGTGCCAGCATTTCGGAAGAAAAAGTAAAAAAGCTGATGTTTTTATGCACCAATAAGAAATAAATAATATTACTAACTTGTTGTTTATATTAATATGTTATATGTTGACCAAATTCTGGTTCAATAATATTCACTTTAATGTACATAATATTACTTGTAAAATATTTAGTATGAAGCCAAATTCCTAGATACAATATACTATTTATATTATTAATAACTAATTTATGTGTATTTTCTATGATTATTAAATTATTTCACGAATACCGTATTAGGTTTAACTCGTTTACCCGTTTTATTGAAGTATATTAAGATATCAGGATATTCACGTATTAGTTAAGGTGTTATAATATTACATAATATATATTAATATATTAGTATTAGCTAATATTGACAAATATCGGTATTAACCCATCTTTATCTGCAACTGCATTGACTTTTGATAAACTTGTCAAACGTCAACTTTTTAAGGGATTTTATGACCTGGTAACAAAGACCTTTAAGTGATGTCTTGTTTTAATTTAATAAATTCTTATTTTTATGAAAAATGATAATAGGAGTGAAATGAAATGAAGATGATCAATTTGAGACATTAATCAACTGGAATGAAATGAAATAAGATGATATGGGATGAAATATTATCTCAGTAAAATAGTGGTCATTTACTGAGATTTTTTCAGTGGACTTTTTGGAGGATCCCGGGAAGTTATGTCCAGCAGCTCTATTTCATTTTCTCATATTTGTGCACTTTCACAGATATTAAAAAGTTAATAAACCACCGTTATTACTTATTAAACCTGAAGGAACACTAAATAGACAAAATAAAACAAATCACACTATTTCACTCCTCGCGTTCCCGCCAAAAAGTCCACAATTGTCAATAGTGATTTGACTTTTACAGAAGCTTTATTTTTAGTTTTTGCTGGGTTATATTAAAGAGATGACTTTTACAGGTTAATTATTAGTTAATTTGTTGCTCTTGGATGAGAATAGCAACATTTGTATGTAATTTGGCTCTACTGTGAACCTTATACTTTTAAGTTTTCCCTCAACAGTAATGCGGGATTGTTTTACGTAAATTTTATTATTAACCCTAAGGTTTAATCTTTTGGTCAACATAATTGATCCCTATAGACATTTCAACTATATATGACGATGGGCATTCAGCCCATTTATTTGTTAGTAGTTACTACCGTTTATTAATTTAATAAACTTGAAAAACAAAGCAATACATATTTAAATTTAAAAAAAAATTACACTAAAAACCAATCAGCATCTGTGAGTTAGAAAACAAGCAGTTCCAGATAATATGTATCTGTGTATGAAGTTGTGGTTTTACAATATTGGCCATTTGAAACTGGCTGCAAATACACTCGGGTGCAATGAAATCGCACATCTGTACATTTTTTGAAAAATATTATTTACTTCTTTTTATTTAAAAAAATACATATATTTTTTAACATAGGGTTAAAGGTTAGTTCAATACCTATTCAATGATACTATATAAGTGGAGATAAGGTTACTTTCTTGAGGAAAATAAAATACAACAACAATTTAATCTTTATTACAAAATGATTACTCAACTAAACCGTTTAAAATTTGGGGATTAATAAAAAAAAAACAAAAAATACTGAAAAATCATTTATTAGTAACAAGTATTGCCCCCTCTTGCCCGAATTACAGCTTCACACCGATTCCCCATCGACTCTATCAAGTTTCTGATAAAGCCTTGTGGCATGACGTCCCATTCCTCTTTGAGCGCATTTTGTAGCTCCTGGAGATTAGCTGGAGCACTATTTCGACCTCTAATTTTTCTTTTTAATTCGTCCCACAAGTGTTCAATCGGATTAAGGTCCGGGCTCCGAGCTGGCCACTCCATCACGGGTACATTTACTTCTTGTAAGTATTGTCTCACTATCGCAGCGGAAATAGGTCTTGCATTGTCATGCATAATAAGGAAGCTACTTCCAATTAAACGGCCAAATGGTACGACATGTTCTTGTAGAACTTCCTCTATGTATCGTTGAGATGTTAGACCTCTTGTTTGTCGCCTAATATTGACCGCAACGATGAAGACAAGCTCTGTTTTTCGTTCGAGTGAGATACCTCCCCAGAAAATACACGAACCACCGCCGTATGCTACATGTTCTGTGATGCAACATTGGGAAAATCGCTCTGAGCGCCTTCTGTAGACCCTTCCACGTCCATCATTATCATGAAGACACATTCTGGACTCGTCTTAGAACAGGACTGCTTTCCACTGGTCGGCTGTCCAGTTGACGTGTTCTTGTGCAAATCGAAAACGAGCCCGGCGGTGAGCTGGCGTCAATTTAGGGCCATTTGCTGGCCTATGCGCAGTCAAACCACCTTCGGCAAGT